AGTACCCAGAGGCCAGAAGAGGGTCTTGGATCCCCTGGAGCAGAAGTTACAGACAGATGTGAGCTGCCATGTGGGTGCTGGGAATTGAACCCAGGTCCTCTGAAAGAGCAACTTTTGAAGGCTGAGCTTTTCTCCAGCTTCCCAGCCAGCTGTATTGTAACCAGTTCCAACTGACCAGTTGCTGTAAACATTACTACAGTAAGCAACCCTATCCATCAATCTGATTATTCCCTTAAGAATTATTAGGCGCCTGCGCCTGATGGTGATGGTGTCACATGCCTTCAATCCCAGTACTCCAGAGGCAGAGGCAGGCAGATATCTGTGAGTTCGAGGCCAGCCTGGTCTATAGGGCAAGTTCTGGGACAGGCTTCAAAAGCTACAGAGAAACAAAACCAAAAAAAAAAAAAATTATTAGGTAAGCCAGATGTTATGGCTCTTGCACGTAGTCCCAGCGCTTGGGAGGCAGAGGCAGGAAGGTCAGTGTTGAGTTCAAGGCTAGCCTGGTCTACACAGAAAATTCCAGAATATCCAGGACTATATAATGAGACCCTATCTTAAAAAAAAAAAAAGTTATGCTATAGCCACTGCCCAGCCCACTGTTGTATGTAGTATGCTAAACAAATTGTTCTCTATGTGGGGGAGAGATTTTTGGATTAATATTAGAAGGTGAATATTTGTGGATCAAAAAAAAGTTCTTGGGCTAGGCAGATGGCTCAATAGGTAAAAGTGCTTGTGGTGTTTAAGTCTGGTGGTCTGAGTTTGGATGCCCAGAACCCATGTAAAAGCAGTAGCACAACAAGCATATGTAATCCCAGCAAACCTGTAGGGAAAGGGAGGCAGAGACAGGAGACTCAGAAGCTGGCAGGCCAGCTAACTGTCTTACACAGTGCCAAAGAGAGCTGTCTCAGAATCAAGGTCAAAAGGTGATGATCCCCACCTAGATTGTTCTCTGACCTCCACATGTGTGGTGAGGCATGCTCACCATCCCCAACACAGAGACAAACAAAACAAAACACCCCCAAAACAACAACAAAACAGAAAAACGGGCAATGGTGGCCGATGTCTTTAATCCCAGCACTTGGGAGGCAGAGGCTGGTGGGTCTCTGTGAGTTCAAGGGCAGCCTGGTCTACAGAGCCAGTTCCAGGACAGTCAGGGCAACTCAAAGAGACCCTCTCTTGAAAAACCAAAAAAAAGGAGAGCTGGCATTTGCTGCTGAAAGGGCTTTTTCCTAGAAATTCCTGACTTGCAGTGAAGTATGGTGGCACACACCTTTAGTTCCCACACATTGGACAGAGTGTGACGCCATTCTGGTATATCTGGAGAATTCTAGGCCAGACAGGGTTATGTGGCAAGATACTGCCAAAGGAAGAAAGAAAATTCCAGATTTTGTTTTCTTGGCCCTAAGATGCATTTAATGAGATCTGGGGTGTTGAAGACTTCAGACAAATTCTGACTGCAGAGAACTGGGTGGTGCCAGTGTGGAGGCTGTGCACAGGCAAGGAGAGTCACAAAGTAGGGCACAAGGGCCTGGGGTCACTGTGGAAGAACTCTGTTGTTGACTGTAAGGGGACAGTGAGCCAGAGAAGGAGGGAAAGTGCTCTTTGTGGCAGGGTTAAGACAGCAGGTGGATGGATGTTACCTTGAAAGTGAGAGAAAGCTGGCACTGGCCTACAACGAGCTTGGCCTGATTATGTGAGTTTAAGGGTCACCCCTGAGAATATGCCTGCCAGAGGTGGGCTTGGGATTGTGGAAGAAGATTTTATTTATTTATTTATTTGTTTGTTTTGGATGGAACCCAGGATCTCCCACATGCCTGGAAAGCTCTCTGCCATTGGAAAAAACTGTCCTTGCCTGGAGCCAAGACTTGTCTCTTTTTTTTTTTCCATTGCTAAAATTATAGGTGTATGTTTATGTGTGCATGGATACACTGAGCCATCTCCCCAGCCCCAGATTTGTCTTTTCTGACTCCTTTGGGCCTAAGTATCTTCATCTACAAAGTGGGTGAAGAAAAGCTGAGTGCAGTGTGGCAACTGTGGAGGACCTGAGCCTCGGGTCTTCCCAGGTTTTCTTTGGGAAGCTGGGGACCCTTTGCAGGGAGTTGACCACAGGTGTGCTCTGGCAGGTACAATGCCCAGGAGTATTATGATCGAATTCCTGAGCTTCGGCAGATCATCGAACAGTTGAGCAACGGCTTCTTCTCCCCCAAACAGCCTGACCTGTTCAAGGACATTGTCAACATGCTCATGCACCATGACCGGTGAGCTGGCTAGCAGGCTGCACGGAGGCTCATGGATGAACAATGGCTTGGGTGGGTGGGAGGCTGCCTGGGGTTGCAGCTTCATTCACTCCAGTTGTCTGCTGCACCAAGGACTTGACCCTTAATCTCACAGAGTTCTGGCCTCTCCATTCTCCTCCAGGTTTAAAGTCTTTGCAGATTATGAGGAGTACATTAAATGCCAGGATAAAGTCAGTGAGTTGTACAAGGTGAGGGGCCTTGGGCCAGGGGCTGGCCCAGCTTTGACTCTGGCTGAGATGGAGAAGAATGGGGCCAGCCTGCTAGCAGAGTGAAACTAGAGATTCCCTTCCCGTTTTCAGAACCCAAGAGAGTGGACACGGATGGTGATCAGGAACATAGCCACCTCTGGCAAGTTTTCCAGTGACCGAACCATTGCCCAATATGCCCGGGAGATCTGGGGTGTAGAACCTTCTCGCCAGCGCCTGCCAGCCCCGGATGAGAAGATCTGATCTCCTACACCAGACCCCACATCTGCCCTTGACTCTGTTTGCAATTCCTGGGATCAGGCTCACTTTTCATACAGAGGGTGGGCCCCTGGAATTACTACTCTACCTTTCCCTTTTTGGAACCCTCTTTTACCAGTCTCTAGGTCCTGATGCCCAGTGTGACTAAGAACATTGCCCCCTTCTTTTTCCTCAATATCCTACCCCTCCTATTTATGAATGGGGTCTGACCAAGTGCACCCACTCCCCAATAAATTGACTCTCCTTGAGCTTTCTTATTCTCTTTTCTGTTGCGAAATATTTTTAGCTTTTGGAGAGCTTAACAGCTGCTGCGAAACCATCTTATTATTCCCCCCCCCCAACACACACACACCACACACACCAAAGCAGGTGCATCATCTGGGGGGAGAGTGGGGCGGTCCATAGGCGGTTCCTGGGAGTCAGTCCCTTTTCCCTCCACGCCTCTCTTCCCAGCGCTGTGTCCATACTAGGTCAGCGGCCAGCTTAGTTGGTCGGGGGCGGGGCGTCTGTCTGGGTGGGGCTCACCAGGTCAGGGAGTCGGGATTTGGGCTGGAGCCTCCCGGACTACAGAGCATACATGCTGTTAGGGGAGGGTCCCGAGAAGGCTGGGCACCTTCTTTGCTCCGCCCCTAGACCCGCCCCACTGCGGCGTTTTAGGGTCTGTAGCAGGTGGCTATGATATATCCAAAATCAGGGGAATGTTAAGGCTTAGGGCATTCGCAGACGGTTTAGGCGAAGGCAGTGACATATTCCCGGCTCTGGAGAAACTGAGGCCTATAAACGGCCTGTTCTGAGTCTCACATTACCAGGACTGAAGAGAGGAGGTTCTGCCTCCCTCGCTCAAGGCAGGGAGGGGCAATCCTCGGAAAGGGTTTTGGGGCCCCGGGTTTCACAGTGAGTCTAAACGGCCGGAAACTGTTACCTATCCCCTCGGCCAACCTGCGAGGGACCCCAACTGCTTGTGGCTGCCCCTCCCAAGTTTCTCCTCGCCTGGGCCCCTGCATCCAGGCCTCCAGTTACGAAGGTGGAGAACCCACTCAGCAGATGCCCTGTGGGATGCCCATTGCCCCACCTCTGGACATCGAGCCTGGGTCCCCAGGGAGCCGCGTGTTCATTCATTCCTCGCCCCATGAGGCTTCATTGGACCAAAACCAGCTCGCATTTTGTCCTAGCCCCTCCCCCAGGCCATCGCAAGGACCCGCAGCCCCACGCCTGCGACCTCCACCAGGCCTGGGCCTCGGCTGCCCGCAGGAAGACGCCCGGGCCCGGGCAGGGTGAACCTCGTGGGAACGGTTTGTCTCGAAAACAGGAACCCGGGACGGGGGGCTGGGCGGGGCGCCCCTTCCCCACCGCAGTCCGCTTCCTGCCCCTCCCGGCTTCCTCCGTGCGACACCCAGGCGGGGCGCAGAGCCCGGGGGTGTCGCGGTGGGGGAGGGCTTCAGCACGAGGTCCCCCACGCCACTAGTGGTGCAGCCCCCCGCCCGCGGCTACGCGCTTTGGGGTGGCAGGGGAGGGGTTAAGCTGCTGCAGAGCCCTGTGCGCGCGGGGCGAGAGGGGGAGTCCCCAGTGGAGGAGGCGCGGCGCGGGGTGCAGGGGCGGGGAGGGGGCGGGGCGGCGGGGCGCTGGGCCGTGGCGCGGAGAGCCGGCTGGAGCCGCAGCCGCAGCGAGGCCGGCGGGCGGGAGCGCACGGAGGTGGTGCGGGCCGGGCAGGGTGCGGGCTCTGCGCTGCGGGTCCCAAGAGTGAGTGAACGAGCGCGCGCGGGCGGGGCGTAGGACATAGAGGGCGCGGTCCCTTGGGATTCCCTTGGGGCAGGCCGGCGGGGACTGCGGGTGGGTGGGGAATATGCGGACCCGGTCCTGGTAGCAGAGAGATTGCAGAGAGGCTTAGGCACTTAGAGCCACCCGCGGGAGGTGGAGGGGGGTTGTCCGTGGCACACCGGTGCTATACTGACACATCTCTACCAGGCCCTTCCCTTCAAGTCCCCATTTGACAGATGGGAAAATTGAGGTTCAGAGAGGCCAAATGATTCTCAAGGTCACCCAGCTAGGAAACAACTGAGTCAGGAGGGAATGGCTCTGAGAAGTCCTTGCGAGGATTCCCTAATGTGGAGGAGTTTGTGTAGGGCGAGGTCCCTTTCTTTGGGACAAAGCTCTGGCAAGGTCCAGGAGTGTGAGGAACCCCGAGCGCTGGGGCTGTGTGTCATGGAGCATGGTTGGAGGGGGAGGGGCGGCGGAATGGGTGTGTGCGCAACCACGGGGTTATGTGCATGTGTGTGGGAGTGTACAGGGGTGGAGATGCACACTGTCTTTTCGTGTGTGTGCACACGTGTACAGATGTCAGAGCTACTGTGGCTGATGGTTCAGAGGCTGGGCTGGCTCAAGTGAACAGAAGGTCTGGGAGAACTGCGTGCGGGTTTGGATTCTAGAGTTAAGGACCTAGGTTTGTGTGGTTGAGGATTTTCATTGCAGGTGTGCATGGGGTGTGGGTGCCATTGTGTGCGACAGGACAGGAGGTGAGTGTGACCCTGGTGTGTGTGAGGAGGGTCTTGCTCTTAATGTAGGTCATTGGCCTCCTGCAAATAACTTGTCTAGAGAATGTGTGTTTGTCTCTCTATGGGTGCTTTTAGCCCTCACTGGGGACCAGGGTTACTTAATGGTGTCATGCAGGCCATGGCCTCCCCCGTGGAGCTAGCGGCCCCTTCTGGGCATTCTTGGTGCTCTCACGCACAATTTAACTATGCAGCAGGGCGGGTGGGAGGTCAGAAGCCTAGGCTGGGGAGATATATGACAGTTCTGGAGAGGCAGAGCCAGCACCCCTGGGACCATCATACATGTGGCTTGGGAGCCCGCGGTTCCCAGGCTCTGGCTTCCCACTGATACCTCCCAGCCGCAGTGGGCTACCCCCATACCCCGCCCCAGGAATGTTCTTCTCCACTCCCGGCCCTCCTCCCCAAGGGCAGGCCCCTGGGGGATGCTATGGCCCCGCCTCCCACTCGCGGGGAGCTCAGGAGGGGGCGATGTGGGCAGAACGCCTGGGTTCTCTCTTCCCTCCTCCCAACCCAGGGAGAAATTCCTCCGAGGTCCCCTCAGGCATTGGGTTCCCAAAATAACCCTGCGGGGGAAGGGAGGCTGTTAAGGGAGGGGAAGCGGGAGGAGCGCAGAACCGAGCTGCGGGGTGCTGCAGGTGCCTGTGGGGAGCAAGCTCAAGGAGAGCAGGACCCGCCGGGAGGCTTGGGGCACCATCTCACCCCTGCGGTACTGCTTTGTGCCTTATTTTCGTAGAGCCCTTCTACCTTCCCGCGACTCCGCGGGTGGGCCGGAAGCCTCTCAGCTAGTCCATTTCCCAACTAGGAGGTTGCACCATCCCGGGGTAGGACCGTTTAACCTCGGGAGTGGCAGCAGCAGGCAACTCCGCCCCTGACCAGCAGGGGGCGTGCCTGTCCCGCCCCGTTCCTGTGCGCCCGGCCGCTCCCCCGGTTCCTCTGCTGACTGACTCCCACTCTGTTTCTCCCGGGACAAGGACAGGGTTCGAGCCCTGTGGGAGGTTTTCGGAGCGTAGTTTGGGTCCAGCCCATCGGCACTGGAGGCCATGGCGAGCACTCTGGATTTGGACAAGGGTTGCACGGTAGAGGAGCTGCTCCGAGGCTGCATCGAAGCCTTTGGTGAGTTGCCTGCAGCATGAGGGGCACACCCAGGCTGAGCCTGAAGCAGACCCCTGGCCAGGATCTACTCAGGCTCCCCCCCCCATCTTTCAGTCCACTTAACGAAAGCCCCTTTCTTTGCAGAGAAGTGCTCAAATATACCCTATATCCAGACGGCAGGGAATTGGGGGACAGGGGTCCCAACTCGACCTGGGATGGACATTATCTGTCTCCCTGGGGAATCCGGAGGAACTCTGTATCTCTAGCCTGGGAACTGTTTCCGGCAGATGGGGTTGGTTTATCTGGTGAAGGGGTGCCCCTTCCCCCAGCACTCAGGAAATGACCTCTGGATTCTTGACCCCGGGGAACCCAGGCTCCTTCCGCTCCAGCTGGTTCCCCTCTGGACTATGGGCTTTCTCCAGGCTCCCCTCCTCCAGTTCCTGGATTCTGTGGTACCCCTTGCCCACCCAGACTTCTTTCACAACTTTGACCTCCTGGCTTTGGAGTGCTAGGGAAAGCAGTAGGTGGGTGGGGTCGGGAGTACAGACCTAGGGACCTGACACCAGACTTCAGACTAGGCTGAGCCTCCGGATCAAGGGTCAGCCGCCTTCTCTTTGACTTTTGGAGCAGATGACTCCGGAAAGGTGCGAGATCCGCAGCTAGTGCGCATGTTTCTCATGATGCACCCCTGGTACATACCTTCCTCTCAGCTGGCTGCGAAACTGCTCCACATATATCCTTGGCCCGCATGGCTGGGGCCCGGTTTTCAAGTCTATGAGCCCATCCTGCTTGGCTTGCTCAGGGCCTTAGAGCCTCGAGTACAGGCCTTGCTTGCACTATATCCCACAATTCAGACACCGTCCTTTCTCCTAGGGCATAGGCTTTGTCCTGTACCTACCTGGACTTGGTCTCTTCTGTGAGCTAGGCCTTGCCCTCGCTCTCCCCTAAGATCTTGGATCTGCCCTAGTTCTGCCCAGGGACCTCTTCTTGCCCATCTCCTAGACCAGTGGAGTAGGACCCTCTACCTTAATCTATGGCCGCTCTCACAGTGCTCACCCCCCTCCCAACCTTCCTGGAACCCAGGCTTTGCTAGAGTCCCACCCCCTGGGTTCTCAGGCCCAGCCCTCTGCTCCTAGTCCTGGCCTTTGGTTCCTGCTATTGTGCTTAACTCAGTTCTACCTATCAGCAATCCCGGAAGGACAACTCCAATTCTCTACAGGTGAAAACGTGTCACCTGGTCAGGTGAGTCTGGGTCCTGGCCCCTCCTCTTGCTGCTTTCTCAAGCTTCAGGTGGGCTCCAGGAGTGGACAGCATCCAGGGGACTAACCGTTGGGTTTTGCCAGTGGGCGCTGTCCAGGTGTGCTGCTGGCCTTGTTATTTTCTGCTGGTGTGTGCTGGGGTTGGATGGAGAAGGAAAGGGCTGGAGGATGGGGTGGGTGGGGTGAGTGGGTGTTGCAGCAGAACATACTCGAGACATTTTACCTCACCTTTGGGGGGTGAATACAGTCCTTTCCCACTCGGGGATGGTGAGGGGAAGGAGGGCTGCCTTAGGTGACTTGACTCTGCCTGCCCCTCCACCAGGTACTGGATCTCAGCATTCCCAGCAGAGTTTGATTTGAACCCAGAGCTGGCTGAGCAGATCAAAGAGCTGAAAGCTCTGTTAGACCAAGAAGGGAACCGAAGGCACAGCAGCCTCATCGACATCGAGAGTGTGTGCGTGGGGGGGGAGTTTGGGGGCTCTAAGCATTCTATACCATATGTGCTTAATAAATGTCTGTTTAATTGAATGAGTGAGGGTCACGTCACTCTCTTGCTTTAAAACCTTCCATGGCTCCCTATCACCTTCAAAACACTTCCACTATTAAGGCCCTACGTGGTGTCAGGCCAGCCTGACGTTCCTGTCCTGCATCCCACACACTTCATACTGCGGCTCTTTGGGTCCACTGGCCATTGTCTGTGTCCTGCATCCTTCCTCTCCATGGTACTTGCTCTTGTTGCCCTGTCTCCTCCATTCTCACCAGACTCAGCACAAGCGTGACGGCCCTGCCTGGTGAGGGTGTGCTACTCTTCCAGGGCAGGGTTTGCCATTCTTTCCTGTGTTTTCCCAAGATGCTTTGTGCAGACTCCTGCCCAGAGCCCTGGGAACATGTGTCCCACTGTTTGATGATGGCATGTTTCTGTGTCTGTCTCCTCCAGTAGATTGTGAGCTCCTCGAGGGCAGGAACCGTGTCTTGCTCATCTCTGTACCTCGGTGCCTAGCACAGCGCCTGGCACAGAGTACGTTGTCCATCAGTGTATTGAATGCATGGTGAAGGGAACATGCGAGGGAGTTGCTGGGGCTTGGGGATCTTAGTGCTTAGGATGGTGGCTCCTGCCGTTTAGGTCCCAAGTCAATTTGAGTGGCATGTCTGAGTGTGTGTGGGTCACAGGAGGCAGGAGACATCTCTAGCACAGGGCTTACTACCCCTGCTCCCCCAGCCCCACCTACAAGTGGAAGCGGCAGGTGACGCAGCGGAACCCTGTGGAACAGAAAAAGCGCAAGATGTCCCTGCTGTTTGATCACTTGGAGCCTATGGAGCTGGCAGAGCATCTCACCTACTTGGAGTATCGGTCCTTCTGCAAGATCCTGGTGTGGCCTGAAGGCTTGTGGTTGGGGTGTAGTATGGGTTGAGAAGGGAGTTCCAGAAAGGGCTAAGACTTGGGGATAGGCTACCTCCCAAGGATGGTTGGGTGGTTCCATTATTAAGACAGTTGGAGGGTGAGAAAGGCTGGTAGCAATGGGAGAGGCCAGCAGGGCACTCAGGCCAAGTCCACCTGCCCACAGTTCCAGGACTATCACAGCTTTGTGACTCACGGCTGCACTGTAGACAATCCTGTCCTGGAGCGATTCATCTCCCTCTTCAACAGCGTCTCACAGTGGGTCCAGCTCATGATCCTCAGCAAGCCCACAGCCACGCAGCGGGCGCTGGTCATCACACACTTCGTGCATGTGGCAGAGGTGCCCACTTTCCCTGCGTGCCCAGCCTCCCCGTGGCTGTTAAGCCCTTCCCCTTCTCTCCAGAAGGGTGGCTGGGTGACACACTGCCTCCCCCTCCATATTTGCCTCCCAGAAGCTGCTGCAGCTGCAGAACTTCAACACACTGATGGCTGTTGTCGGAGGCCTGAGCCACAGCTCCATCTCACGCCTCAAGGAGACCCACAGCCATGTCAGCCCTGAGACCATCAAGGTACCTGGTTCTGGAGGGGCCTAAGCTTCCCAGTTGCAGCCTTCCCAGTGCAGTGCTGGGGCCTAGGCACACTGTTCTTGTTTGACAGTTGAGGAAAATGCATGTGACGGTGGTGGGTCCCCAGACCTGCTTAGTTCCAAAGCTATTTTTTTTTTTAATTTTATGTGTGTATGTATAGTGCATGTGTGTGCACAAGTGCATACAGGAGAACAAGAGCTGACATTTATTTTTTCCTTCTGTCACTCTTTCCATTTTATCTTTTTAAAATTCTTACTCATTTTATTTACGGGTATGTGTGTATGCCACATATGTTCATGTGCCCTTGGAGACCAGATGGCTCCTTTGGAGCTGGAGTCAAAGGCAGTTGTGAGCTGCCTGACATGGGTACTAGGAACAGAACAAAGGGCCTCTGGAAGCTCAGCAAGTGTTCTTCACCTCTGAGCCATTTCTCCAGGCCCATTTTTATCTTGAGATAGGATCTTTTACTGAACCTAGAGCTCACCAATTGGCTAGACTAACTGGCTAATGAACTCCAACGATCTGTCTCTGTCCACCCACTGAGTGCTTTGGTTACAGACATGTACACAACTCTGCCTGGCTATTATGTGGCTGCCAGGGACCCACATTTGGGTCCTCATGCTTGCATAGCAGACACCATACTGATGGGCCATCTCTCCAGTGGCTGCATCATGAGACCCTGTCTCAGAAAAAAAAAAGTAAAGGGGGGAACCACTATAAAGTTTACAAAGTAGAACACTGGAGTGTGGAGAGATGTCTCAGTGGTTAAGAAAGAGCACTTGTTCTTGCAGAGGACCCAGGCTCAGTGCCTAGCACCCACAAGTTGGCTCAGGGTACCAGGCATTCACATAATGTACATGCAGACAGAACATCCCACATGTATAGAATAAAATAAATCCCTTTTTGTGTGTGTGTTTTCAAGACAGTGTTTCTCTGTATCCCTGGCTGTCCAGGAACTCACTCTGTAGACCAGGCTGGTCTTGAACTCAGAGATCTGCCTGCCTCTGCCTCCCTAGTGTACTTTCACATTGTTTTTGTGATTGATTGGGTCTCATATATTCCAGGCTGTCCTTGAACTTGCTGTGTTGCCAAGGATGACCTTACATTTTTGATCCTCTTGCCTCCACCTCTCTTCTGAGGTATACACTCCCACACCTGATTTATGTAGTGCTGGGGATCGAACCCAGGGCCCTCTGCATACTAGGCAAGCACTCTACCAACTGAGCCATACCCCCATCTCAAGCTTTTCTTTTTCTTTTGAGGACCCCACCACCATTTGTTTTTGTTTTGTTTTGTTTTTCTGGAGGGTTTCTCTGGGTAGCCCTGGCTGTCCTGGAACTAGCTCTGTAAACCAGGGTGGCCTCCAAATCAGAGCCCTAACCACTTTTTGAGACAGTTGCATAATGCATAATCCTCATGCATCTGCCTCCCCACTGCTGGGATTCCAGGCTTATGTGACCATGCTCAGTTTAAGTTTCTTTCCATTATTTACCATCACCAGACGCCTGTCTAATAACACCCTTCTTGGTCAGTAGGCCTGTGCCTTAATGCTGAAAACTTGTGCTCAGCCCTGGTATAGTTGTTTCCTTGGACTCATAACCTATGAGCTCTGACTCCTGGGGTTTGAGAGAGCAATAAGGGAGGATTTGACCTTTTTGCCTATCCTTGACCTTGCTCCCCATCCATTCCCACAGTTCTAGGGCTGAGGTGGGAGATGGCTGAGTTGGTGTGTATGAGTGACATTCTGACCTTTCCCCCACAGCTCTGGGAAGGCCTGACAGAATTAGTGACAGCCACTGGCAACTACAGCAATTACCGGCGCAGGTTGGCAGCCTGCGTGGGCTTCCGCTTCCCCATCCTAGGTGTGCACCTCAAGGATCTGGTGGCCCTGCAGCTGGCACTGCCTGACTGGCTGGACCCTGGTCGGACCAGGCTCAATGGAGCCAAGATGAGGCAACTTTTTAGCATTCTTGAGGAGTTGGCCATGGTGACCAGCCTCCGGCCACCAGTGCAAGCCAACCCTGACCTGCTGAGTCTGCTCACGGTGAGGGGCTAGGGATGATGTCTGCATTTTCATCTGCTAAGACTGTAGGCTTGCTAGGTTCTGAACAAAAAGATGAGGTTAAGCTTGGGCTCTGGGGTTTGTGAGACACAGGCCTATAGTCTGGTCTCAAGGCTGCTGCGTGGACCGTGGGCTGGGTCTGAGATGGGGTCTGGGTCCTGATTTGAGCTCCTAACAGTGGGTTATATTCAAAGGGTAGGACTAAGCTGTGACAGATGATTTCTTTTTCTTTTCTTTCTTCCTTCCTTTCTTTCTTTCTTTCTTTTTTTTTTTTTTTTTTTTTTTGGTTTTTTTTTTTTCAAGACAAGGTTTCTTTGTATAGCCTTGGCTGTCCTGGAACTCAATCTGTAGATCAGGCTGGCCTCAAACTCACTGAGATCTGCCTGCCTCTGCCATGAAAGTGCTGGGATTAAAGGCATGTGCCACCACTACCTGGCAGACATGTGTGATTTCTAACATGATCCTGGCTCCTGATTGAAATTCTTTTAGTCTTTAATAATTTAGTTTTTGGAGACAGGATCTCTCTCTGTAGCCCAGGCTGACATGAACTTACTAGAGAGCCTCAGCTAGCTTTGGACTCGTGGTGGTGTATTTGAGCCTCTAAAGTGCTTGGATCACAGGGACCACTCCCAGCTTTGGGGGAACTCACAGAGATCCGCTTGCCTCTGCCTCCTGAGTGCTGTGATTAAAGGCATGGGCCAACAATGCCTGGCTAGTGCACTGTTTTTAAGGCTTGCTCTGTGGGCTGGCTGTCATGGAAGTGGTGGGGGTATATTCTAAGCTGGCCTTTGTCCTGAGTCTAGATTTCACATCAGGCTCTGGGCAGAATAGTAAGTAGTCCTGTGGTCCTGGGTTTGTAGCTCCTATGTAAGAGGGGGGCAGGAACCTGAGGGTATGACCAAACCTATGTGTCCCAGGTGTCCCTGGATCAGTATCAGACGGAGGATGAGCTGTACCAGCTCTCCCTGCAGCGCGAGCCACGCTCCAAGTCATCGGTAAGGGAGTCCCTCACCCCTCACTCTGCACTTGAGAATCCCAGGGTGCAAGGACAGAAGGAACATTCCCCATCCACTACACCCACTTGCTTGGCAGTGGAACCCTGGGGGTGCGGTTGGCCTTGGGTAGGCTCTCTCTATTTATTGGAAGCTTAGCTTCATTCCCACTCTGGCCCTGGCTCAGACCTGACTGTTCCCACAGCCAACCAGCCCCACCAGCTGCACTCCGCCTCCCCGACCTCCTGTGCTGGAAGAGTGGACCTCAGTTGCCAAACCTAAGCTGGACCAGGCCTTGGTGGCAGAGCACATTGAGAAGATGGTGGAGGTGAGAGCCCTGGAGTCTGAGGGAATCTGGTAGAAGCAGGGTCCATGAAGCCTTGCCCCGGGAGCCACTACTAGTACCATAGCTGATGGCCAGTGATCTGACCATTCCCCAGGAGGCACAGATTGTAGCACGATAGCTGCATTATGGGCTGATGAGGCAGGACTGAAAAGGGACATGGGAGACATCTCTGATACTCCTCATAACAGACTGACCTTGTGTATCCCTCTGTAGTCTGTGTTCCGGAACTTTGACGTCGATGGGGATGGTCACATCTCACAGGAGGAGTTCCAGATCATCCGGGGCAACTTCCCTTATCTCAGCGCCTTTGGGGACCTGGACCAGAACCAGTGAGGAGGACTAGGGCCTGGAGGGTGGGGTAGAGGGAAGGCATCAACCCACTTCCCCTTGGGTTCCAGTTCTAGAGTGTGAAAAGAGCAAGGCCTTGCCTGGGAAGCCACCATGTGGCTGTGATGTTTTGAGGTGGGAGGAAGCTCCCAGTTGTGGAGGGATAGCATTATCTTGCTAGTATGGACAGATGGGAGAGCCCCACCTGAGCCTGGCAAAAAGAACACTATTTTATTTGTGGAGTTCACAGCTGCCAAGAGTGTGGGGAAGTTGAGCCCCTGGGTAGCCGGCATTAATGAACAGTAAGAAAGGCCACAATTAGCAGCACCCACTTGCTTATCCACAATTCATATGCTGGCAATTTGGAAACACATCTGGTTCTCTGAATCAGGTTAAATGTGCCCTTTGAAGCAGGTTTATGCTCCATATTTGCTGAGATGACAAAAACCCAGTCAAAATTTACAGTCTGTCCCAGGTTGATTTATTTTTAAATGTGACCTGTATTTCAAAAATATGTGGTTTGGGGGCTGGGAATGGGTCTCAGTTGGTAGAGTGTCTGCCTAGCATGCAAGAAGCCCTGGGTTTTATCTTTATCACTGTATAATGTGGCATAGCCTTGCTCTCCTGGAATCCTAGCATTTGGGAGGTGGAAACAGGAGAGTCAAAAGCTCTTAAGTCATCATCATTTACTTAGCATATTTGAAGCTAGCCTGGGCTACATGAGGCTTCGTCTGAAAAAACATTTTTTTTAATTAATATTGTTCTCACATTACAAAAATTTATGGTAAGAACAAAATCCAGGGAGTAAAATAGATTCCCAATGAACAAACTGTTTAAAGTAAGCAAATGTTAAAAAAAAAAAGTAGGGCCTCACGCCGGGCATTGGTGGTGAATGCCTTTAATCCCAGCACACAGGAGGCAGAGGCAGGTGGATCTCTGAGTTTGAGGACAGTCTGTTTTATCAGAGAAACCCTGTCTCAAAAAGAAGGTAAGCTAGTGTTCCTTGGCTCATTATGTAGCCCAGGCTAGCTTGAATTCATTATTTAGCTCAGGTTGTCCTCAAACTGAAAGCGATCCTTCCTCATTTTCCCTAGTGCTGGGATCACAGGTGTGTGCCACCATGCCTGACTGCTCCCATCCTTTTGGGCACCCATGTAAAATGGATGTGGATTTTGATCTGAAGTGTGTTTTATAGCCAAATGGGAATCACACGAGGATCTATCCCCATTGGTGGCTAGACTGCAGCAGATACACCCAGTTCTGTGTTTTCTGCCTGGGCTGGTGGGTTTGTTTGTTTGTTTGTTTTGTTTTTTCTTTCTGGGCTCTTAACCCTGGAGGCTGTAGCTTCACAGAGCCTCAGCACTGGACTCGACCTTATGTAAGCTCAGACAGCTGAGTGGCCACCAAACCTCATCATTGGGCTCATAAAGAGAAAGAGGCTATTTACCTGGGATGTAGGTCAATGGCTGCTCTCAGGCTTAGCATGCACAAGGCTCTGGGTCTCATTTCCAGTCCCCTTAGAACTCAGAGGAAGTCTAGCTCCACTCAGTGCTTCTTTTGGGTTTGTTATTTCTGCCCCCCACCCCCTTTTTTAAAGTTGTTTAAGAGTTTAAGACAAAGTTGCTATGTATACCAGGCCAACTTCAAACTAAGTCTATAGCCAGGTATGCTGTGCAGCTCCTGATTCTCTTGCCTTGGTCTCCCCCAGAGCTCTTCTGATGGGAGGTCTGCTTGTATGCTGCCACCACATCTGGCTTCTGAAGCTCTTTGTTTCTGGAACTGGGAGATTTTTATCTCTTGTAAAATTATCTATGCATTAAAAAGCCTGTTGATTAATTTCAATACTCTCTATATTTAATACTATATTTATTTACTTCTTTTTTTTTGGAGACAGGGTCTCACTCTAGGTGGGATTTTGCTAGGAACTTACTAAGTAGCCCAAGTTGACTTTACACTACAGTCTTAGCTTCCAGAGTGCTGGAATTCCAGAGATGAGCCACCTTGGTTCACATTTTAGTTTTTTCTGTGCTAGCATTGAACCCAGGGCCTTATGAATACCAAGCAAGCGCTTCACCCGTGAGCCCCATCCCAGGCCTGTTTTTATGTTTGCTCTCTGCTAAATCACACCCATCTTTTCATGTGAACTCAGGTGAGAGTGTATCATTAGTATTTATTTATTTATTTTGGGGTCCTGAGGATTGAGCCTAGGGCTTACATGCTCCAGGCAAGCACTCTGCCACTGGGCTGTGGTATCCACATTACATCATCCTTTAGAGGACTGCACTGTGTGGCTGGCCACCCCTTCACCTGTGCCTCCTCCAATCGATGGACACACAGATGGTCACAGCTGCTCTGGAATGATCTGTTCCACTTCTGGGAAAGCCTTTGTATCCATTTCCTTATCCACTCCCTTGGCCCAGTGTGATCATTGGATCCAAATCACATACACCCTAAGTTAGGCGAAAGAGGCTGCCAGCTGACCTCGGACAAGGTCATACCTGGTTGCACCCCATCAACCGTGCCCAAGTACCAGTGTCCCGGCCTCCTTGCCAAGAGCAGAAGCTATAATAAGCCCTATGGTGTTGCCAGTTGAGTTGGAAAATGGTGTCTTTGTTAATTTGCATCTCTCCAACCTGACTTGGGTTTATCTATTCATATGTTTATTGGCCACTTATATTTCTTCTGTTAATTGTTCATATTCTTTGTCATCCTACTGGGTTGTGCCTCTTCTCATTGATTTCTTGAATATGTACTAATGGATATTAACCCCTTGCTATTGAGTATTTTCGCAAATATTTTCTTCCTGTCTGTCATTGATGTTGTCTTTTTCCACATAAAAGTTTTTTTTAAAAGCTTTGCGTATTTGATATGTCAAACTTTTCTTTGATGGATTTTTTGGATTTGTATGATGTGTAGAAAGGCCCTCTGCTCAGGGTCACAAAACAATTTTCAAGTCTTACTTTCACGATTTTATGTATTCATCTGTGTCTCATTCCAGGAGAATGTGATTTTCATATGTCATATAAAGTCTGTCTGTCTGTCTGTCTGTCTGCCTGTCTGCCTGTCTGCCTATCTATCTATCTATTTATCTATCTATCTATTTATCTATCTATCTATCTATCTATCTATCTATCTATCATTTTTCAAGACAGAATTCCTCTGTGTAACAGCTCTAGCTGTCCTGGAACTTGCTCTGTAAACCAGACTGACCTCAAATTTACAGAGATCTGCCTGTCTCTGCCTCCTAAGTGCTGGGATTAAAGGGCTGTGCCACCACCACTTGGCTAAAGCCTATTTTTTTTTAAACCAATCACCAGTTATCCCATTGACACGAGGGCTCTCTGTAGCATCAAATCATAGAACATCAAATTTCAAATAAGGGCTAGCTGTGGAAGTGACAGACACCGAGAAGTGACCAAGGTGGGATGTGGTGGCACGTGTTAGTAATTCCAGTTTCTGAGAGACTGAGGCAGGAGGAACAAGTAGCAAGGCAGGATGGCTCACTTTCTCAATCCTAGCTAGCATTTAGGCACTTAGGAGACAGAGGCAGGCAGGTCTCCGTGAGTTCCTGCCCAGCCTGGTCTACATAGTGAGTTCCAATCCTGCTAAAGCCATGTTATGAGAGCCTATCACAAAAAGCAAGCAAGTAACCAAGCAAACAATCAAACAAAACAAACAAAAAGTGGGAGGGGAATATCCCAAATTAAAATGTAAAAAACAGAAAAAAAAAAAGGAGAAGTGACTGAGGACCCACCTAGTCACTTGGACATTTGTATGCATTTTCTGACTCTCCACAGTACCTGGAGATAAGAAAACTCAAGCACAGGGAGATTAGCCGGCCCCAGGTCACAGGGCTGAGTTTTGTTTTTTTTTGGGGTGGTGGTGGTTGAGACAGAGTTTCTCTGTGTAGCCCTGGCTATCCTGGAACTCACTATGTAGAATTGGCTGGCCTTGAACTCTCATCAAAGCCATGAACCACCATGCCCAGCTAGAGGTGGGATCTGAACATCTATGCCTACAACACATTGGCGCCTAAAATACTTTCTTAGATGAGAAGGGGGCCTTGGGAAGCCGGGGTCTGCTGGAAACCCCCGATCGCATGCACAGCTGCCGGGTTCTCTTCGAAGTCCCAGTCCTCAGGCGCCCTGCATGTGTAGAGATGTGGCACAGAACACACTGTGGGAACTGTACACGCCCACCCTCTTTAGCCGACACCCCAACTTGGAGATCCCCATTGTCTTGAGGAGGAAACCCTAGGGAAATGACTTCGCCAAGCTCTTACTAGTTGGTGGTAGATGCTAAGTGTCCACTTGTTTCCTGCACGGACCTTTTCTCTGCCCATGGGGTTGGGGAGGTCCGCCCTGGCCCCAGGGGAGGACTGGAGCTGAGGTGTTCCCACGCTCACCAGGGATGGCTGCATCAGCCGGGAGGAGATGGTCTCCTACTTCCTGCGCTCCAGCTCGGTGCTGGGAGGCCGCATGGGCTTCGTACACAACTTCCAGGAGAGTAATTCGCTACGCCCGGTTGCCTGTCGCCACTGCAAAGCTCTGGTGAGCGTCCGCTGCCCAGACTATCCATCCACCTCTCCACCCCTGGCCTGCCGGCCCAAGTCCCGCCCTTCTACTGGCCCCGCCCCTGTCGGAGCGCGAGCCAACCCTCAAAACACCTTGGGTCCTAGACCCCAGGCCTTGTTCTCTGGACCTATAAAACCTTAACCCCCCCAGCATGATCCCCTCCTTTATTGCAGATCCTGGGCATCTACAAGCAGGGCCTCAAATGCAGAGGTAAGAAAAAAATAGAACAAATGACTTCGCTGCTGGACCAAGGTTTGTGGGAAGAGTTCCTGTTGGGGTAGGGATTTTTATTTTGATGGTGGCAATTTCCAGCAAGTGAAATATGTTATAACTAGGGTGGCATCCTGACTGACAAGAGGGGCTTGTCTTTTAAAAGACTGTGGTGGGGCAAGCTACCTATGAAAAGATACTTTGGAGAGGGCACAGTCTGGTATTAAATTAACATGAAGAGAGCAACATGGGAGGAGCCTTGTAGTTTGGTGGGGGTGATTTCTCAGGAGCAAAGAACCCTGGGAGAAGCACAGGCCTGAAGGATGGGATGGAGAGTTTTCTGACCCACGGCCCTTGTTGAGCTCCTCTTCTTCCCTCCCTCAGCGTGTGGTGTGAACTGCCACAAACAGTGCAAAGACCGCCTGTCTGTGGAGTGTCGCCGCAGGGCCCAGAGTGTGAGCCTGGAGGGCTCGGCACCCTCTCCCTCACCCACGCATACCCACCACCGGGCCTTCAGCTTCTCCCTGCCTCGCCCTGGTAGGCGAAGCTCCAGGCCCCCAGGTAAGAGGGCCCCCAGGCAGTCAGTGTCATTGTGGCTTATAAACTTATCCAGGATGCTGGCTGGTTCAGACTTTGATTATTTTATTTTGGTGGGACTATAAAGAAGGGTTGGGTAGGTAAGAGTGCCCTAAGAGCTCCCAACTTTCAGAGGTTGGTGTGGAGAGAGGCCCTGATTTAATTTAATTATTTTTGAGACAGGGTCTTACCCCATAGCTCTAGCCAAGTACTGGGATTAAAGATGTTCGTCCTGACTTTAAAGAAGCTTCAAGATACCAGTTGTACTTCTTTTTTTTGTCAGGGGATTGGTGTTCTGTGAACTATTTGCATTTCTCTTTTTTGCCTGTCATTATAAAAGTCCCTTCCCCCATAACCTCTGGGTGGTACTCTTGGGGTCTCAGTTAGTTTTGATCGGTTTGCTGAACGATGATTTGCCAAATGATTATTTTTCCCTGAGAATAGTCTGAACAAGAAGCTAAACTGAGGTCCAAGGCAATTTGACCACAATCATTTGGGCTGCCGTAAGTTCTCAAAAATAGAAAAGAGAAAACTGTTTGCAGTCAGTCTTCAGATGTGCTGGACTCTAAACTGTGCAATACACACAAAATCGACGTTTAAGTAAACTGCACGGAGATGTGGCTGTGGGAAGAGCTGCGGCAGAAACTTAGAACAAGCCTCAAAGATGGGGTCGTTTGGTCGTTCTGAGAATTGATTTTTGGAGGATGGGTCTGCTTCCAGGATGGGGAAAGGACGAGAGAAGGCTGCTGAGGTCACAGGGACCAGGGGTGGATTTGTGGACAACTCTCCCATCCCTCTCCACAGAGATCCGAGAAGAGGAGGTGCAAACAGTGGAGGATGGAGTGTTTGACATCCACTTATAAGATGGTGAGTCCTCATTCTCTGTACAAGCTGCCAGAGGGCTGGGGTAGCTTATGGGGAGGGCCTAGGAAATGATACCTAGATGGCCTGCATGTGGGCTCCTACTTTGACAAGGGGGTTGTCTTCCTTACAACTTCCATTTTTTTCTCTTCCCAGCTGTGACTATCAAGGACTCACGCCTGCTTTGGAGAAAAGACTTGGAGCAGAGCAGGGAGCCTGGGGTTCGGGGCAGGAAGATGGGTTGAGGGTTGGGGGGGGGTTGAGGGTGGCATGCACTGAGGTCAGGGCCAGGGCTGGTGTCCCTAAGGTTGTACAGATTCTTGTGAATATTTGTATTTTCCAGATGGAATAAAACGGCCCAAATAATTAATCTGAACAATTAGCCTAAAGTCCTTAGACATTGTACTTGTAGAATTCCATAGGTTGGACAGTTTTCAATCTCATGTACATCTGGATCTGGGGGTAATGAGACCTTAGAAGCAGAAAAACCTCAGAACACAAAACATTTGGGAAGGGTCTAGAATGAGAGGGGTCCTGAATCTTGGGGATTCTGAGCCTTGACACTAGTGAGTCTTTGTACCCTAGAATTGCTAGGCCTGGAGCAACTAGAGTTTTCAACCCATAAGCAAAACTCCCCTACCTTCCAGGTGACTTTTTAGGCCCTGGTTGAATACCCCTGTGACTAGGTACTCATGGCAAGAGGGAGAGGGCCACTCAGGGTGCTCGCTGTGGAGGCAGAGCTGGGAGCCAGGAGGGGTGGGAATAGCCAGAGGCTTGGGCTGGTGTGCCTCAGGGTGGGGGGCTGAGCTCCATGGTCATGCAGCCTCTTGGCCTGGTGCTCCTGCCAGCCGGAAGGACAGCGACTTCCAGAGGAAATGCATATTGATCCTGCTCAGCTCCGGAGGCCTCTCCTAACCCAGCTTGCTCTTCCCTCCTGAGCTGGCAGCACAGAGAACTTGGTGGGTGGGTGTCACCACTAACTGAGTAAGGCCAAGGCCATTTCTAAGGCTGCTTTGGGACAGGAAAGTGCTCTATGGGGGTCACTCAGAGGAGCTAAAGCCTGACCAGGCTGCCCCTAGGTCAGGAGGTACCAGATAGCAATGCTGAGAATAGGAGTTACCTCTCCAGATTTCCACACTGCAGGATGCCCTATAGCAGCTGTTGGATTGTTCTGGGGGTAGAGAAGGAGCACCCAAACCCCCGACCTGCACATCACCCTGTTCTGCAGACCTGGCTGTGGTCTCAGGTCCCTTGAAGAATGCACTGTCCCTGGTCCCCCACTTTGTCCATCGCTACCTTTTGACTCCACTTCCTCTGGCCTCCTAGTCCTCATTTAGATCGCCTCATTCTCCTGCCTTGTCACAAGGATCAGCTTTAGCCCTGTCCCTCACTGAGTCCCCTACACTGCCTCTCCTGTCCTCAGCCCCCTCCTGCCCTTCCCCCTCTTGAGGCTGTAATATCCGTTTCACGATTTGGGGGCTGAGTTGCTATAACAACAGACGGCGATTGTGTTGTGAAGAGCAGCTCGCTCCTGCTCTGCCAGCCTGCCTCCCGCTGCCTCCATCCCTGCAGCCTGGTCGGCTCCCCAGCCCACCCGAGCCCCTTCTTGTCCTCTTCCCAGTGTGTGGTGTGCCCTGGAGCTCAACTCTGCCTGTCTGGGATGGGACACGTACTTGTCTCTCCACTGTCATTCACATGTGTCAGAACTGGATGTCTGGGCTTCACATACTGTGGTTACCTGCAAATGTGTGTGGGACCTGCACCTGTATTTGCACAGTTTTTCCTCCCTATGTGTCCCTAGTGACCTGTGTACCTGCACAGAAGGGTGTTTGCTTCATGTGTCCCACCAATGTCCACACTAGGTGGAACCTGTGTATTTGAGGGGTGTATTCGGAAGTGGTGGGGCCCAGCTGCCATGAGGGGTCTGAATATGGACCTCCCTACTAAAGGAGGGCAGGGAGGTGTAGCAGGCTCCAGTGACCTTTTCTGCCCTTGCTGAGAAACACTGAGGACAGAGACAGGAGACCAGTGTCGCCCTTGCTCCCTCCCCACCCAGATTCTTTGGCTTTGAGCATTGTCATTGGGTCACTGCACCTGCTTGCTTGTCCCTCTGCATTTTGGTGTGTGTGTGTGTGTGTGTGTGTGTGTGTGTGTGTGTGTGTGTAGCCTGCAGGAGGAGGAGCAGTGGAGGATGGGTGGGGCAGTGGGCTGTGGGGGGGGTCAGATAGGCCCTGACTCAGCAGATCCTGTTCTTCCTTCTCCAGTGGCCTGAGGGGGGGCAGCTTGAGGGTCTTTCCAAGGTCAGGTCTCAAGTCTGGAACTTGGTTCAGGGATCTCCCTTTCCACTGCTTAGGAAATACCCTCTGCAGCTAGGTCCTCTCCTATCCCTTTTACAAGGCTATCAAAGGAGGCCCTCTGGAGAATGTCCATATTCACTAACTCAGGAATGACCACTCTCTGCAAAGTCCCTTCTAATGGTTAGGGTGACTCCAAAGGTGAGTCCCCTGTGAGCACCAAGGGTGTGTGCAGTACAAGTATGCAGGTTCTTGAGGGAGTGTGCTTTTCCTGTGGTGAGTGACCACGGTGGGGTGTCTCTGAAGTGTTCTTTTGTGTCTTTTGGAAATGCTGGGTACACAGGACAGGTGTGCATGGCTGTGTGCCCCCACGTGAATCTGCATACATTAGTGGTTGGATGTGTGTGCTTGCTTGCATATTGCCTCTGGCTAAGGAAATGCCAACTGCTACCAGCTGTGCAGATCACAGGCCCTGTAACAGAAATCAGGGTCCTGGGGAGAACTGGCAAAACGGTCTGCCACACACCCACCGCCACACCCACGCCTGCACACTGCCTCATTGAGAAGCCCTGTATCCAACTTAGCTAATGGTATACACACTTAGGCGCCAAATCTACCTTTTCTCGGTGGAATGAGTGAAGGAGGGTGTTCCCTTCTCACATTCTGACACAAACACGGCGATGCAGACATTCTCACCGCAGAAGACCTGCACCCCAGGACCACATTCTAGGGCTTGAAGGGAAGATGCTATGAGCCTCGCACTCAGTAACCAGGTGTGAGTAGCCTCAACCCAGCCACTAACCTTCTATTCCAGCCCAGCCTTCCACAGGGATGAGAAATGGCTCAAAACTCTGGGATTCCCAGGAGTCTGGGCTGGGAAGCCCCAGACCCCTAGTCTATTAAGTCTGTAGCTCAGCTGTTTCTTCCCCCACCAGCTTCGTCCTTATCTCTGCAAAGCTCTCTAGCTACTCAGTTCCGGAGGCTTCCAACTAGAAGATGATGGGACAGTGGCGTGTAGGATCTCTTCGAGTGACTGGAAAAAGCCACCAGCAAGCAGTTGGGGGCTCCTTTCTTGGCTCCAGGTAGCCCAGGCCAGCCCCCCCGATGCAGCCAGCAGAGGGCGCTGTGGCCCAGGTCCCCACTCAGGTCCTGCTCTCTCGGTGCCCCAAGTGGGGGTTCAGTCTTCTCCTTTGGTTTGTCCCAGCCCTGGGCACTGTTTTCGGGACCAGCCGGCAGGGGCGGGTGGGTGTGGGATCCAAGGACCCAACCATGAGGAGGAGGGTAGGGCACCTGGATTCCCAAGACACTGAAGCTGGGGAGAGCACCTGCTGGGTTAGGAGTCCTGGACGTCTGGGCAAAGGTCCTGAGAGGCGCGTAAGGGCTCGGATGTCCTGGGGCCGGGACGCCTGGGTCTGTGCGGGGGAGGGCTAGTGGAGCCGCGGGACTGGCGGCTTCCGCACCTTCGCATTGGCCGCACCACTTGTCCGTCAGCGCTGTGTAGTCCAATGCGCGTGCCTGGGGGGCGGGCCCTGGTGCTGATGCTGCCGTCAGTCGGTGTTGCAGGGATGCGGCGGCGGGAGCAGCCGCCCTGACTCTCAGAGCATCCTCCTCGGAGCGGCACCGCGGCGGGGCGGGCGGGGACGCGGCGGAGACCGAGAGGCGTGAGGCGACCGATACCGCCAGCCTCAGATCTGTCACCTCCCAGAGACCAAGCGGTCTCGAGGCTCTGATCCCCACCCTACAGCTCCTGGCGCCCCCAGAACCAGGTATGGGGGGGCTGCGGCGGAGACGGGTGGGGGGCGGGAGCCAATCGGGGGAGGGGATCAGGTCGGAGGGGGCGGTGGATGCAGAAAGGACGGATTTGGGGGCGGGGGCGCCGAGCAGAGAGAGCTGGCTGGGTGACAGCGAGGAGGCGAAGCCACTAGGGGTGATCGGGGGAGTCCCTGTGGAAGGGGCATTGGCCCTGAGCTGGGGCGAATGCCGAGGGGGTGAGGGAGGGTCTTTGGGGGAAGGGATGGGATGTGAAGGTGGGGCATCAATAGGGTTGTGAGAAGGGGTCTGAAATGGGGGAGGGTCCCTAATCTATGCTGTTCCTGGCAGATGGAAGCAGTGATGGGTCAGAGAGACTGTGAGCTGTTGTGGTCTGAAGGGTCTGCAGGGGAGAAACACTGGTCTTCATGAGAGAGGAGGCCGACTGGAGAGAGGATTGAGAAGTGGAGAGGGAGGTCTGGGGGTAATCACTGAAGAAAAGGCTCTACTGGGGGATGGGAGCCAAGGGGAGAGGAGGTTATCAGGAGGGAGCAGAGAGGAAGATGCCAAGATGCTCTAGGCATAGATGAGTCTGTGATGGGGAAGATCTGGACAAGATGGGGGGCCTGAGGGAGAGGAAAGAGGCTTGCTGGGGAAGGCTGGGAGGGACAGTAGGAGGGTTTCTACTTGGGGAAGAATGTACTTGGGAGCATGGTAGGTAGGTTCTGGTCACAGAATACTAGATGGTGAGAGAATGCTGCTGGGCCCTGGGCTTACTCCTCCACCCCAAAGAGGTGGGGACTATTTCTCAAGTCCCAGCCTTCTTCACCAGAAGAAGGAGCAGTCTGTCCTGTTTTTTTTTTTTTTTTTTTTGTTTTTTGGATGGAGTATGAGCTCAAGGTGGGCTCTGGAGGTGAAATTGGCTTTGTGGGGCTGTTGGACTGTTACAGTTGCCTTTGCTGTCACCCCTCTTTAGTCCTACTAGAGGCATCTAGGGCCTTAGCCAACAGGCAGGGCTGGGAGGAGCTGTGTCTTGATGCTCCATGGTGAAAGGGATCCTGTCCAGCTCTATAAGGCTCAAGGAAATCTGAGGGAGTGGGTCTTGGGTATCCAACCCCCTTGACTACTTCCGGCTTTCATGCACTCCCATTTTTGCACATATTGTGGGTGGGTGGGGTAGGCAAAGACCTTAAAGTCATCCCT